TAGGGAAAGGAGTTGTCATCTCAGACATTTAGAGCTGGCCTGGGTTTGGGATTTGAAGGGATACCTAGCAGCCCCTAGTGTGAGAAGAATGCCAGAATCTCCCTGCACAAACTTGTGGTTTTCTGAAAGTTGGACCTTTTAAAATTTGATGGCTATTTTCCATTTCTGTTTTCACCTCTTGTATATATCTACACTTACCCTGCCAGTCTTCTATAAAGTAGTAATTTGCTTTCTGTCTGGTAATGATTTATTTTAATGGAATTATAATTAGCCTAATTCTAAGTATTGTTAAGAGTGAAAACCTGGAAATAACAGAAATCTTATAAGTGCAAATTTAAATAAATGATGGTAGCTCCATAGTCTGGACTATTATGTAGACAATAAAATGATCATAAAGGGGAACCAGCAGTTAGCATAATGGCTATGTCGCTAGACTCCCATGTAGTCGACTGTGGTTTGCGTCCTGGACCCAGTGGCTTAGAACTCACGCAGGGCGCGTGTGCGTGCATGCCCAAGATCCCGAGAGGAGAATGGAGGAGAAGGGATTGCGGTGTGACCATCCCCCCTGGGGGGTGATTTCTCGCTTTCTGTCTCTCTGTCTCTGTCTGTCTGGTGAGCGCACACGCCCTATAGTGAAAACTTCTCCAAAAAAAAAAAGACATTAAAGGAAAATAGTAAACGACATGGAAAAATTCACAATAGGTTAGGTGAAAAAGGTGGGCCACAAAACCATAAGTATGCGCATGCATACGATACTGGTAATCTTTTTCTTGGCACTTTTCTGTGTTTTCCAAATTTTCTACATTGAATGCTGCAATCACAGGATACAACTGGGAAGAGTGCATTGTGAAGATTCTGAGAGCACAAAAGGGAGTATAAAGGCTTCCTTAAGTAAGCAAATTTTGAGGAAGGTAAAAGGCACAGTGTATTGGAAAGGGACTCAGGGAATATGCTCATTTTTCAAGGTCAAAGGAGAGGAGATGGTGTGTATTGGTGATGAAGACTTAAGGCCCACCAAACAAGATTTGGTTCCATTAAAGAGTCAGTAGGGCAACTCTGGGCTTCCGACTACAGGGGTGAATAGATGTAAGTGGGATTGAAGGGAGATTACTCTAATATAGCATAATGGATTGCGCTATAGGCAAGAAAATCTGCCAAGACTTTCAGTCTGCATATTTGACCTGGATAAAGAAAGCTTGGATTAAGCCTGTGGCAGTAAAACCAAAGAAAGGAAGAGATGCTACCAAGAAAGAATCAGAGCTAGAGATTCAAATTTGACTGAATATATGCCAGGTGATACGCAAAAATCACTTAAAGAGACACTTTCCAAGGAATTGGATGTTAAGAGAGAATAGCTGAGAATTGAGTCTTCAGGGCATTAATAGTTAATAGGAGAAGGAAAGAAGAGAAGCCAGCAAAAGAGACAAAGACTGATAGATCATAGAGATAAGAAGATAAATTTGAGCATGCAATGCCATGAGAGC